CTTCAAGAAACTCGACCCTTGGGGAGGGTATAGGTGCAGGCCCCAAACAAAATGCCTCTTGGATGCCCACACGAGGATAGTCCCTGTGAGTCGCATGTGGGGCAAGTTCTACTGAAGAGGCTAAGGATCAAACAGGGTTACTTTCCGCCCAGGAACTGCCCACGTTCGATAAGGTGTTGCCTGTCAACCCCGACTAAAAGCAGGGGTATTTGCGCCATGGTCACCTGTCTGTTCGACATACCCTGAAACCCGGCAGGTATTTGAAGTAGGGCTGTGAGGAATCATTGTTGTCTTGGTTTCCTTGAGTTGTTTGCTTGTTCGTCCTTGTTGCTCCATGTTGTTGTGGGAAGAAGCACGAAGAGCCGAGCAAGTGTTCAGCAAATTATGAATGTAGGAATATGTACTTGTTTCTTTTAATTAGTGAGCTTCATCTAGGAATCATGGGCTGCCATGAGTTGGTTCTTTCTTGTTTGTTAATCCTTTTCAAATATGTATTTGTATCTGGCATATGTTCTGTGCATTGTGTTTGCACTAAGTCCATGATTTTCTTTAACTTATTTAATATATATATATATTTGTTTATGTCAGGTTCTTATCGTTTCCACTTTATTGTTCTCCTTTGATTCCACTCAACAATATATTTATCGCATTATGTCTGTGCATTTGCACTCTTTGTTCCCTTCTCTTGTGCAGCCTGGTTTCAAACATATGTTTTGACATTTAAGTCTCAGAGCGTATGCGCAAATTTCTAGGACAATGAAAGCTTTGTTTGACATTTTGAGTTGAACTTGTAATGCTGTTTGATCAGTTGTACATTTCATTTGTGGTTAAGCGTGTCGAGGCTGCGGGGGGGAAAAAACATGTCAAGGCAGCATCTATTTTGTTGCAAAAAGTGAAATAGACACCCTTGGCTGCAATCCAGCCGCCCAAAACATCGCAAAAAAGGGCTTAAACCATAGCTGCTGGAGTTGTTTAAGATTGTAGAAGCAGGCTGGTTGGTGGATAGGCTAGCATGCAGAAAGTGATTACACCTAGCACATACCTAGCACAACTCAAGGCTTTGCAAATTGTGTTCTTCATAATATGTGTTGTTACATAGGATGTAGCTGCATGCATTGTTTGTTGCACAAAAAAACTCGTTTTTTTTTTTTTGTATAACTTGCACAACTACAGGCCCCATGGCAGCCCGCTCTTTTCCTACATCAATCTTCCCAAGTCGGGATTTGAATCGTTGATAGGGCCAGATCCAGACATCCCGCATCCCGGCAGCCCTGGTCGGTTTCCCTTCAAGCCAGCCTGGAAAGGGTCACCCCACTCGCCAGATCTGCGGGGCCATTTGTGGCGCCTGGGCCTTGTCGGGCTTGGTCCCGGGCGCCTCCGCCGGGATGGGCGACGGGGGCCCTGGGTGCTTCGACAGCACCGTGATCTCGTCCGAGCTCACCGGCAAGCAGGCTTTTCCCGCGAGACACCTTTCGGAGCCCAGAAACTGGGTCCGTAAACCCTGGTCTGGTGAAAAGGTAGTGAAAGGGCGCAGGTTAAAGACACAACCACATGCAATGGAAACTTGTCACCGATCCACCGATGCACGAAGTCATTGGTTCAATCTCGCACGGAAAATGTTCTATGCGGGTTCGTATCTAGAACCCCCAACGGGAACCCCCTGCTCACCCACACAAAAAACACTTCTAAGTTGCTGCGGGAGGGGTCGTTTCTTGGCTTTTCACTTCATTTTGCTGAGCTCTTGGGTGCCCTTGAACTTTTCCTAAAATTAGGGCTTCCTTTGGTTTCTTCCGATTAGGCTCTTCCTTCATTTCGTAAACCTTCAACTTGTTTCGAGAGCAAAATGGTACGCGGCGAGAGGTCTTTTGGTGGGAGTGCCTCATGACCTTCACGCTGATCAGCTGCGTCTACGCCTGTGGCGTGGCAAAGCCCGGGCACGGGTCCCACACTCCGCTGGCGGTGGGTCTGTCGCTCTTCGCGTGCGCGGCGAGTGGGGGCCAGTACACCGGGGGCGCCCTGAACCCTGCCCGCGTGCTAGGCGGGGGAGTGGGCGGAGGTTGGGAGGTTTGGAGCTCCCCAGCCTTTTGTCGAGGTTGTCCAACCTCGAAGTGCGCATGAAAGGATACAAGGGGGACACGGAGAGATTGAGTCGACTGTACCCTGGACCGGCCGGCACGCATGGCAAGGAGAGACAGAGCGGCAAGAACCCGTCTGACCTCGGCGGGCCTGCCGACTTTGCGGCACAGACGAAGGGAGACAAGGGGAGACACAGGGACACATTGGAAGCTATCTTAAGGGAGACGAGGGCACACAAAGCGAGACAAAGGACGACATTGAGGGAGACAATGGCAGACAAAAAGGGGCAAATTGCCACAAAGGAAGGCATATTAGGGAGGACAAAGAGACACAGAGCGGCAAGATCACGTCTGACCAAGGGGAGACAACGGAAGAAATGGGAAAGGAAAAGGAGACACGGGCAGACAAAGGGAGACACAGAGAGACACTGAAGGAGACAGTGGGAGACAAAGGAAGACACACGAGGAGACAAAGGAAGAAATAGGAAGGGAGACAAGAGAGTGAGAAAACTCGGGAGAACCGGTCAAGGGGAAGCCGCCCAATCCTACGGTAAACTGCTTGAGGGGCGAAACTATCATGGCCAAAGTAGAACCATGAGATAGCCTAGGCACCGGGCAGTAGTTCCCAGCACAAGACAGTTATAGCCATGGATGTACACTCCCTTAGACTACCATGGAAGCTCCCACCCCTCTGTAAATGGAACCAAGTCCTCCAAAATCCTGGGAGCTTCTATGTTAGTCTGGGTGGGGTCAATCCCCGGCCGCTTGCAGTGCAGGGCCCTACGCGGTCTTCGATTGCGGCGAGGCTCGCACACACAATGAGTTTCATGACTTTGTCCCTTTTCCTTGGCCCCCAAAACGGCAAGAGATTCCCCTAAAGGGTAAAGGGTGGTTTCAAATGGAAGGCCTCAAGAATGGAGGTCCCGCTTCTTGGGGTGATGCTTCGTGAGGAATGGTAATTCTACCGGACAAATGTTCGGTTCTCAGCCAGTTTTGGGGAGCCTGAGACAGAGCCTTATTGGTTGAAACCACAATGAGGTCCTTGCTCGGCTTTCCGTGGGGAGAAAAAGGTTGATAGGGGCAGCACGTGGCTCCTTCAAAATGCACAGAACGTGAACCGCACGCTTGGCATCTGAGTTTGGTTCTTGGAAATCGTGAAGACATGCGAAGGTTTCATTAGGAGTATTAGGGTAAAGGCAGGGAGGGCATCAGGCAACCCCGTGACATTGTTGTTTGTTCTTTCAGGCTAGAGTCCAAAGATTGTGGTCAAGATCTCTGATTTCGGGGGTCGTTCTGTTTCGATGTCCTCTTGCCAATAACGCGCCTTCGAGCGAGCGAGATGGGGCTTGAAAATGCAGGACTGGGCCGGCCTCTACGTGGGCGCTCAAGCGCTGGCGGCAGTCTTCGCGATGTCCGTCTTTGCCTTCGTGTCGGGGCTGGGGCCGTTAAATCCGCGGATGTCCAAGAATGCGCTTGGTCTCTCCTGGCCGGAGGCTGGGGAATCAAAGAAAAATGATGCGAACATGAACGGATGGACCTGTCAAGCTTCCTCTTGAAGGCTTTGTTTGGGTGAATTACTGTACTTGATGGAGTCGGTTTGTGATTCTCGCATTTGAGAATCGCCCAAAACCCTCTCTTGGCATTTGTTCTCGGGTTGAATGAGGGTCATTCTAGTAGGGGTTCTGTGTTTGATCGTGTTCGTTTACTTAGAGACTGTGCCAAGGCCAATATGGGCTTGCAGCCGTGTAGTTTGCCTAAGGCCAAAAAGGTCCAAGCGAGATACCCGTTAACGCCACCCAAAAAGGATCCGAGCCTCGAAAAAGAGAAAACAACACACACACACACACACCAAACAATCGGGGCCAGGGAGGATTTGTTTGTTCCAGAGTCGGAAACATTCAACGCTTGGCTTTCTGGACAAAGTATCCGCCTCGGAGATCCAAGCCCACCCAGTTGATGTTCTTCGCCCACCCATGGGTCAGGTCCCAAAAGTAAAGCCGTTGCAAATGGGTGTGTGTGTGTTGAAATGGGGCGTCCAATTTCTCCGTAGAACCATACCAAGAAGGCCGCCCTCAAAGGAAGATGCCCAATCCTGGGAATCCTGGCCCCTTGCATCAACTTGTATAGCCTCGTTAGACCTCGTCCCAGAGCAAACTCAATCAGCTTGGCCGGAGAAATTGTTTCATCCTCGCACAAAGTAAAGCCCACTGCTGTTCCAACTTTGGCCCATGTGAGTCACAACAGCGCACCCTTTTACGGGAAAGCAATTGGTGCTGCTAAACCGGAAAAAAAAGGCCTCGTTCGCACCACTTTGAAACCATGGTTGAGACCATTGTTTGTCGGTCAGGGGAGACATACACACAGGGTTTCTGAACGGTGGGACATGGAGTTCGCAGGCACAGTTGTGGCTTGCTTCAGGTGTTGCCGTTGTTTTCCCGGTCTTCCATTCGGAGCCGCGCTCGGCTTCGGTAGGCCATGTTTCTGTGGATCACGGGATCGCCGCCCTCTCGGATGCAGGTCACCGGCAAGGAACCGGAAGGGCTTTCCGGTGCCCAAGCGTTTGAAGGGTAATGTTGACGAATAACTTCCGTTTGCTAAAATGAATATTGAGTTTATTGTCCGAATCGAATTCCTTGCTGGGCATATTCTTATGTTTTCTGGGGACGAAACGCCAAGGGGGGTTATACAAGCCCTTAGGTGTTGGGAGTTCCCCGAACACAATGAAAAAAGAAGCGAGGTTCCTGAGCCTGGAAAAACATGCCCTACCCGGAAAAAGCAATTGACCCATTTTTCTGAATGGACTTAGGGCATTCCATTCCCACTGGCCGGACGCCATGATTTGACCAAAGTCAACCCTGATAGAATGTGCAACTGGGACAAGTAATCCCTTTTTGAAGCCTGGACGAGCGACGTAGGTGCTGCACAATGAGGAAGTTGGTTGGGGCGCGTATCAGGGCATGGGGTCTCTTGAGGATACCCTTTGCAGGTTTTGCTTGAGTGGGGTTTCACCACCAGGCCCCTTGTTTTTTTGCGAAGTCGGCCCCTGCGTGGGACTCCTTTGTGAATGGTTGACTTGACCAGAAGCCCGCTGGAAGGTTTCTTTTTGGTCTGGACATATGTCTCTGCAGGTGAACCAGGAAAGAGAGAGCCCCGGGGTGAGAAAGTGAGAGCCAAGAGTCCAAATGGAGCGGAGGGGCTTGGGCCGCAAGCTATGCGAGTCCCAAACAATCTGGAGAGGAGGGGCTTGGGCCGCAAGCTATGCCAAAAAGCCGGACAACTCTTTGGGCTGATGGAGCAAAGCATTGGACCGGGGATTGGTTAAAACTGCTTAGCTGTTGAACCCCGGTCGATTGAACCCTGGTCGATTATTGGTTGACGAATCAGCTGCTTGATTCTGATGAGAAAATGTATCCCTGGTACCGAAATCCCGGTATCTGACTGGGTTGTAAGTGAACCTTTGCGCGCTTGTGCACACCAGTGAAGCTCACACCCTCCTCGTATTTACCTAGGGAAACGATGCTTGCACGCCATAGATCATTTCAAAGTCAGAATTGTATGATGCCAAAGCGAATGGTCGGTTTGGTCCCAGTTCTGTGCTTTGTGATTGCCCATCGTTGAGCAAAAAGGGGCTTCAGCCGACAGACACGAAACCAGCCAGGAAGTCTGCGACCCTCTTGATTTTGCAAAAACGTGTCTTGAAGTTTCCGGTCCATTGTCGATTTCGTGGAGGGGACTCACCAAATCTCCCAAGGCCAGGGGGTTTGATGATTTTTCCCATGCCTTACCGTTCGCATATGTTGAATTCCAAATGGGAAACTCACAACCGTCAGTCAAACTGGGGATTCGAAAAACATGGATGTGAAAGAGCTCTTCGATCAATGAATACCCTGACGGAAAGCCACACGAAGATCTCTGAAGGATTCTCAGGTTCGATCAAGAGAACGCGGATTTGTCTTTGGTCCGTCTTGGGTCTTTGGGACATGTGGGGATAGCCGCTAAAACATTCACCGAAACCTACCATAGAAAGTCGTGCTGAAATGAACATTCAGCCCGTTGTTGATGCTTCCAACTTGAATCGGCTTCAGGAGAACATCAGCGACTTCCGTGTCCAAATCAAGAATTACCATCGCGACAAGAACGTGCGCTCGGAGGCATGGAGTTGGTGCAATACCAAAAAACTCTCTGCTTTGTTTGCGGAGCGACTGTGGATGGACAAAATCCTGCACGACCTAAGAAATCCCAGAAGGGTGATTCCCCTGTAAATACCAACAAACAATGGTTTCCCATGGTTTCAAAGTGGTGCAGGATTCCGTCCACAGGATTTTCCGCCAGGAAAAAAAAGCGGGGAGAATCAAACACAGAGCTCACCAAGGTCCCTCGCTTGATCCAGTCCTCTTTTCAGGTTTAGATTTGCAATATGCCCATCAGGGAGGCGGAGCGGCCTGGTGAAGCAAATTTTCCGTGTGCAATTCGTTTGGAAAAGTGTCAAGAACGCCAACTGCGCCCCCCCTCACCCCTCTAACCTGCAACCGGTGAGGCTGTGCTGCTCTAGATGAGGTTACTTCCATGTGAGCCGCTATCAAATCGCAGGGAAGTGAAGATTCGCAAGGAACAGTCCCAGCCAAAAGTAGGTGCGGCCGCCCTCTTGCTTTGGGTGGACCATATTTTAATAGGTTTCGATTGTGACTCATATGTGTCGTACCCTGAAATATTTGCGCCCTGGATCATTTGAGCTGGTGGTTCTGTCTGGTTTCCTGGCGTGAACCCACACCTGTGGCCCCCCCTTTCCCGCCTTGACATTGGGCGGGGCCCTTGGCCAACCAAAACAGGGGCACCAAACCGCTCACTTAGGGCGAGAAGAAAAACGGCGTGGCGTCGTGGCTGGAGGGGCTCGTTGGCATCAAGCAGTTCAAGCACCTCGAGGGCGACTCGGAGTCCTCCGAAATCGCCTAGCGACAAGAAGAAGACGGTGTCGCCAATGAAAATGCATGGGGGACGCATGAATGGATGGGGCCGGTGGCACGTCCGTGAACTGGGAGCTTTGGTACATGTTCACAAATATAGGCGTTATGTTCACGAATGGGCCAAAGCTGAGGACTTCTTGAGAAAAAGAAATCCGAAGAAGTTCAGACGTGTCTCAGGTGGCCCCACCCTGTGCAAGCATATCGGGCCGGAAAATCTGCCTATGACAGCATCGAGACCGCTCGGTCGATTGGTGGTGCCATGAGAAGATATCTCTTTCTGAAATCTTTTGAAATCATGTGGCGGTGATGGCCCGTTGTCCCCATGAATTACAGAAATTAAGGATACATTTTTGCGATTCTGTCAGACTAATGGAATCGCGCATTTGATATCTGGCCTGCGGCTGCCTGAGAATGCGCAGGGAGCAGGCGTTTAGAGTTGAGGAACCACAAAGCTGGCGCAGAAAGGATCGCTTGGCTATGGCTGGGTTGGCCGGGCATTCGCTCTAGATCCATTCCTGTTTGTGTGAACTTCAATGAAGGGGCAGCAAGACGCAGGGCTTTTTTCTTTGAAACCACCCCAGGCAAACACGGTGTATTACAAACTTCATATCGTGGCTTCACTTTTTTTAAGCTGCCGCTTTGGCAGTTTGGGGTGGTGCAAAGCACAGAATGACGCTCCCTGGCACACATTCACAGATTGCCTTTTGCGCTGGCGTCAATACAAATATTTGCGAGGCTCGAAAAGGTGCTTGTTCACTATACCCAAGCCACTAGCAAACCGTCACCCGGCTTGGCCGCAAGAACCTGGCAGGCGCCTGTTTTCTACGGGGCAATGAGTGCCGAACCTCAAAGCAATGACCCAACTACCAGGACAGAACATTCAGAGGGCTCCACTCACAATCCTTTGAGTGAGTGGCCCAGGTCCGCCAAGCGAGTGGTAGGTCGCATTTCCGGGCATGCCAACCCTTCGAAGGTTCCGGTGCGAGTTGTTCCATTGGGGCCCCAAACCTCATGACTAAAGCAAAAGGGTGACTGTCTCTGGGGAGTCTCCATGACCGCTTAAAAATGGGGTTGTTATGTGTTTAAATATGAAAGTCGTATGCGAAATACGTTTCCGTACTTCCGGTTGGGAAATTGCATTTTTAAATATACAATTGATATACGAATAGAAAAAAATAAATTATATATATATATAATTTTAAGCATTTGTAATAATTGTAAGTATTTGTAATAATTTTAAAAACAAATATAAAAACTAATGTATTTAGAAAATTCACAAGTTTATGTAGAATAATTTATTTCGTCGAATAATTTATTTATTTTTTGGAATTTGGAATGTATTTAAAATAATTTAATTATTATTACTTTAAACAGTGGATTAATAATTTATGTTGTGGTGTGTATTGTGCTTGAATTATTTATGTTTTAATTGATTTTATACTTCAATATTATAATGTTTAAGAACATAATAATTATTATATCATTATATATATATATATATTTATTTGATAATTGATTGTATTTTACTCATATTTTGGGGAGGGATATTGGATAGACATTTTATTATTAATATAGGGGGAGATTTATTGTAGGGGGTTAGGTTATATAGCTGAACGCTTACATATTTTATATTGGTTAACGACTAAAGCCGGTTATGGCCAAATTTACGAACAAAAACACTCTGAAATATGTCAATATTAAATTAATAATATTAACCTTAATTAAACTTAGTAAGAGGTGTAGGTAATCACGTGTCTTAGTAACAACATTACCACTTCTAGCACAAATACTAGCTCTGTAATTAGAATAGGGGGTAAGAAGGGGATATTTGCATTATTTCGAGTTTGTAATGATAGTTCCGTGTTTTCAACAGGTTAATTATTTTTTGTTATTCCATTGATGCTTAACATGGCTCTTTGCAAGGGCCTGTTTGTAAAGGGCTTGCTTTAATCTCTTCCTTGGGCCATTTATGCTCAAGCCAAAACCTCACCCTCGGCAACAACCAAACATTCAACCTCCAGGCCCTTCCGCAAACCCAGTTGTTAGCAAGTGTGTCTGCAAAGGAGTTTGCCCACCAAACACTCATCTTCCCCAAGCGTTTGGGCAAGAAAACAATCCCGTTGCTGGTGGGACTTGATCTTGTAGGCCTCAACCTGTTTATCCCGATAACCCATTTTTTTTCTCCACAAATCAGCGTGGGTCGCCTTCCTAAGCATTTTAATTTTATGAAATATGTTTTTTTTTTGTTTTTTATAAAATTTGAGGCAATTGGTATGGTCGGGAATATTAGGATGAATTATGTATATATATATATTATTTATATGTAAAATAATTGTGTTATATTTTAAGGCATTAGGGATAGGGAGGATAGATTTATTGATATAATGTTTAGATTTAACATAATTTGAATAGGAGTTTTATTTACAAAAAAAAACTAATTGGAAATTTGTATATATATATATATATATGGTTGATTATTAGTTATATAGGATATAATGGAATTTAAGCAAATAAGTTAAATAATATTTAATTGTTGAATAATGAAACATTAAATTTAGAGAGGCCAATGCCCTCAGTGGTGGTATTTTACACGTAAAACGTGTTTTTTGCAAGGGGAAATAAGCAACTTTTTGGGCAAGTATAGAGTGAATGATAGCTTGGCATCTGCTTCTGTCGCAGCATCTTTGTAACTCCGTCGCTCATCTTGTTTTCACCAGCTCCTCTGTGTCATCATGGCCTTGGAAGCCGAAGACATGACCTACGAGGATATGAAGGACTGGGATGATGGGTTCCTCTGCAGGTCTTGCGATGCAGTGTGCACTGCAGAGCAGCCCCGAGGCAGCTTCACCCTTGTCTCTTTCCCTATGGATGACCTTGCGTCTGGGGACAATCCGACTGTGCACTGCTTCGACCTCATCCTCAACTACCAGGAAGACCTGAACCAGGCGGAGGTTGGCCGCTCATACAAACAAGCCTGCGCCCAATCCAACTTGCAGCTCCCCAGCACCATTCGGCTCGCGCATCAAGTGCCCATCCAACACCAAGCTCCAGCTTGTCATCCTGAAGCGCAATGACGTTTCCAAGGCCATGTTCAAGCACTTCACCTTTCCCGAAAAGATCAAGCCCAGTCAGTTCATGAAGATGGTCTATGGGGAGCCACGAAAGGCCAAGTTCATGATGGGGGCGCCCAAGCTAAGGCGCAAATTTCTGCAGCACTGCTGCTTCGAGCTGACATCACAGGCATGCCCCAAGAAAGCCAAGTCCGTCATCAGGTTCGAGGATAAAGAGGATGAGGAGATCAATGCGGGCTTTGAATTCATCCTCAAGAACGGGCCGCGGTCATCGTCGGATAACCGACAGCTCCGGTGGATGACAAAAACCGCTCAGGAAAAATGAGTCTCCTATCTATGGCTGGCCCTATGGCTTGGTGGAGAAAGCGCTTCGGAACCTGTCCGCCAACGGCGCGCTCGCGAGGAAGGAGTTCTTGTGGCCCATTCCATTGACCGCCAAGTACTACAACACATGGATCTTGAAGCTTCTCAAGAAGCTTTGGGACTTCCTTCGACCAGCTGTATGGGCAAGAGCCCGCTCGGGAGGAGCGTGTTGATGGCCCAATGTACGCACTTCAACCTGGAGTCTGACCCATGCATCCTCTGCACCCAGGAGATAGACTTTCTCAGAGAGGTCGCTTCCTCGATGACACCACCCTGACCGCTTTGAACATCAAGACGGTCAAAGCCTTCTTGGACGTGGGCGTGTGCGAGTCCATGTGCTGGGCACGGTGGGGTGCCACAAAATGGGTTCAGAACGAGCCGCGGGCTGTGGCTGACAACACCTACGACCCCAATGTTGAGATGCCTGCTTGGTTTGTGGAAGAGGTCAGCTTCGAGAAGTTTTTCTTGCTTGTCCGCCTCGCCTTCACAGATATGCTTCCAAGACCCACATAGACGCGGTGTTCAAGCGGGCCTGCTTCCTCGTCAACTCCAAAGCGCACATGTACTACCGCGTGGCTGGCATCAACGAGGAGAAAGCCAAGCGCATCTCCTTGCACAGCAACGACAAGTACCTCACAGAAGCCGGACACCAAAGGGGCGTCCAAGGACCCGCTACCACAAGGGTCAGCGCACATGCACTTGCGCTAACAAGTCCCGACAAAGGCTGCCGCTCAAGAACCGCACCGGAGGTAATATGGACTTATTTGTATTTTTATTTGTTGTAATTAAGTAATATATAAAAATAAACATACATTTTTTATGTTTTTGATTATTTTATTTATTCCGTAATTTGTTTTTTTGCAAAATATTTCTGAGGTAAGTGTTTCCTATATTATTTGTATATATATTTTGAAATATTAGATGTGTTTAGAAGTATGGAATAATATTAAGAATTATTAGTTGGAACTATCAATTCATAATATTGATGAAAAAGTGAACCTCGAAGCGATGAACCTCGAAGCCCCGCCACGCCAAAGGTTTTGATTCAATGCACCATGTGGTTTCATCGAATATGGTTTGTCGATACATTTTTCTTAATGCTCAGGCGGGAACGCCTTCTAACGAGCATAGAGTGCACTTGGCAGGATGGATTCGTGTCGGCAAAACTGGTGAATGAGACGCTGGCCGCAGCCATTTTGGTGCCTTAAGGAAGAAACCCAACGCAACCCGACTCAACGCCATGTCGGCTTCTGAGCCCGCGCAGAAAGCGTCGACGCACATGCAAGATGGGCACGACACTGTGGACCGAGACACCGTGTTCGCCAACTACAAGTCCCATGGCCAGACAGAGAGGCTGTTGTCCTGCCTCTTTCTATTTCCGACTCATTGCCTTTAAGGCTGTTATTTCTCTATTTCCCTCTAGCAAAAGAGCTTGTCCAAATTTCAACGCTAACTGTCTCCACCTTTTCTGTGACTCCTCTTAATTTTCCTTTCTCCCAAACAACCCGGCCACATGTAGTTTCTTATATGTTGCCCACCCGGGACTGGTTTCGGGCCCATGTCGGCTCCAGGTCGGTGTTCTCCCGGCAGTTTGCGGTGTCACTGGCAGTGGAGTTCATCGGCACCATGTTCTTCCAGATTTTGGGGGGCTCGGCGGCCAAGGACCAAAGGATGGTCCCATGGTTTTGGAAAGCACCAGGTGTTGCCAACAAGTGGGTGTTTCTGACTTGTTTTTGCGGGGAGCGGACCACGAGTGGCAGTTTCTGACTTGTTTTTTTTGGGGGCAGGCCCCTTTTGGATGGGACTTGCTCAGGGTTGCGAGGTCGTGTGTTGAAAAATCGAAACCTCCAAACCAAATCGCCAGTCCGGGGTAAGGGTGAGTTAAGGTACCCCCTCGGTATTGTGGCGTATCGGTTTGTGTGTTTTAAAGAATTCCCAAGTTGCTTGCTTGCACGCACGCTTGGTTGCTTGCCTGATTGCTTGCTTGCTTGAATGCTAGCTTGCTTGCGCGCTGGCACGCTCGCACG